ATGTTTCATCGGAAAAGAGATGTCTTGCACTCTCTATTCCACTCTGAGAACGTAGCTTGGAGGCCAAGCTGGTAGGCAGAGGAGTTTTTCAGGGTGGCTCAGTCAATCCCACATGTAGTTTGTGGAGGGAAAGGAGGCAAAAAAGAGACAAAAGAGTATTTTAGATCAACACCCAGCCATTTAACAACAGCTTGCAATTTCCTTTATTATAATAATAATAGTAATTATAATAATAATAATCCTTGCATTTGATATAACGCCTTATCACATTGTTGGGACATCTCAAAGTGCTTCACAGAATATATATTGTAAAGTGGGTCTATAGTGCCTTTCACCTAGGCTCACCAACTCGATGTGCTTTGTAGAGACTGTGCCAGAGACTGAGCAGAGAGGGTGAGGAGAGGAGAAAGGTGACAAAAGCTTGGGCAAAAAGGTAGATTTTCTTGGAGCATTTAAAGACCGATAGAGGAGTAGTCAGGGAAGGAAGTGAGCAGAAAGTTCCAGAGAGTAGAGGCAGAACGCCTGAAAGAAAATTTTATTTTCAATCAATTTGTTGAGTTGACATATTGACCTCATATGTTACCCTTTTCCTCTGGACCAGGGACCTTGATCTAAATGATTAAACTCAGTAGAAACTGGTGAACCTCTCTTGATGGGTCGCCCGAATAACTATCAAGTTTATGCTTTACTGTATTATGTGCAGCTGCTAAATGTGAATCTTACTTTTCCAATGCATTAATCAGGTAAATTGTGGTTCCTTATTTTTTACGTGCCACATGGAAACTCTTTATTGAAGAACATGATGCTGAACTCTAAAACACAGTTGTTGAATTATTTATCTTTGTCAAATATGATAGTTTTAGTAAAGCAGCAGTGAAACTTTCTGTGTAATTTTCACCATTAGCCTATTGAGAGTAAAGGGATGTGTGGTTTGGGCCAGCTGTTCATTTCTATAATGAACGCATGCAATGGGGATGCAAACAGTGATCGCACATACTGTGTTTATACCAGATTTCTAGCATCTGCAGTAGTTTGCCTTTTTTATTTGTATATATATATATTATATATATTTACAGCATGGCCTCTTCCTTATGTTACCTCCAAATGTTTCAATCCTCTTGATGTGAAGTCTCACGGTTGTTATTTTCATGTTGGCATTTGTCTTATCCTAAATTGGCGGCTGTATTTGCCTTCAAAACACGGTCACTACACTTGACAACAAATCTCATGAAGCGCTTTGCGATCTTTCGAGGACTTTCAGGGCTTTGGGATGTCCGCCCAATGCGAAAGGCGCACTATCAATGTAATTTTGTTGTTGTTGTTGAGGACGCTTTATCACGGATGGCTGTTTTACTATCGTAGGAAATGTTAAGTGTTTTCAGCACAACAGCTGTTTAATGGAAGGGTTTGCATGGAAATGATCTTGCGACAGCAATACCTGCACAGAGTTAATACAATTTGTAGTTCTTTTGTGTTGTCAGAACCAGTGGAACTTTTATGCTTTGGAAGGGAAAATAATCACTGCCATAAGGTGGCGCTCCAAACAGTATCTTTCAAATGGGTATTGTTCACAGTGAGAGCCAACGATTTGGTTTATTTCTCAGTGCAGCTAAAAGCTTCTCGATTCCAAGCAACAGTGTGAACTGAGCTTGCTGTTCACTCTATTTTGACAAAGCCAATATAGAATACTCTTAGCTGACTGTGATAAATCTCTGCTACAACAGTGATGGGAGAGCAAAAAACTATTTTTGATTTTTGAAGAAAAATTCAAGCCGCGAAAATACGATTTCATAGTTCATTTCAATATTTCTTGCGCTGCAGTGTTGTGAAACGTTGAGAGGTTTCTATCCATTTTTCTGGTAAACCTGCAATTAAGATTGCACACTCACCTAATGGAATAAATCACATGCTTTCCTTATGTCAAATGCAGACTTAATAACTTGTATGCTTGCTGCCTGCCGGCATTCGAAATGTTTCTGCAGATACTTTTTCGAGATATTTGTGAAATTGTTCCCAATTTTGTATTAAATGATGAGGGATTTGCTGCACTAAAACCCCCACATTCATCCGAAATTAAGTGGACGGCGTTGACGAGGTTTCACAACACATTAGGCTTGCGTGAAGTGGAAAGAAATGAGCATTTCTGATTCCTTGACATGCTCACGAGCAGTTTTCAGATGAGGGAAATCATTGGCTGTTCATTTGGAGCAAATCTGACCATTTTGCCGGTCATTCGGAGGAGATGTTAAACCAAACTCCCCGTCTGTGCCGTGTTCAGGCAGATGTTAACAAACCCGTGGTGCGTATCTGAGAAAGAGAAGGGAGTTTCTCCATAGTGTCCTGGCCACCGATTTCCCCCAAATAAAATTGGTCATTCACTTCATGGCTGTTCGTGGGACATTTCTGCGCGCAACTTGGCAGTCACATTTGCCTACAAATACGCAGTCACTGCACTTTAAGGGCTATAATGTGAAGCGTGTTGGGACATCCTCTCGTCATA